TTCACTACTGCACTCCAGCCTGGGTGACAGAATAAGACCTTGTCTCTTGAAATATAATTACCAAATATAATCATATTGGCCTCCAAAGCTGTTAGGTCGATTTGCACTCCCACTAACAGGGTAATAGAATTTCTGTTTCTCCATACTCTCACCTACACTCTGTATTGTCACACTTTAATTTTTGCCAATCTGATGGCTGTAAATTGGCATTCATTGTTGTTTTAAGTTGTATTTCTGTGATTATTTGTGAGGTTGGGAATCCTTTTCTTTTTGAGACAGAGTCTCTCTCTGTCACCCAGGCTGGAGTGCAGTGGTGCAATGTTGGCTCACTGCAACCTCCACGTCCTGGCTTCAAGCGATTCTTCTGCTTCAGCCTCCCAAGTAGCTGGGACTACAGGCACACGCCACCTCTTCTGGCTAATTTTTTTTTTGTATTTTTAGTAGAGATGAAGTTTTATCATACTGATTACAGGCATGAGCCACTGCACCTGGCCAGGAATCTTTACATGTTTACCAATCATTCAGATGTCAGTCAAGAAAAATGTCCAAGACAAATCTAAATCATTTTAGGAGGTTTATTTGCTAAAGTTAAGGATGTGCCCCTGGGAGACAGGTCTATGCCTTTCTTTAAAGATGATTTTGAGGGTTCCAAATTTGAAGGGGAAAGGACAGGCTATTGAGAAACACGTAATTTGAATGTAAGAGGGAGGTTGGGGGGAGTAGTCATTCATGCCTTTGTTTGGCTCAGGGAATCTGCATTTTTCCATAAGATAACATAGATAAATAAGGGCAGGGGAGCAATCAGATAGGCATTTGTGTTAGGTGGGCAGAGGGGTGCAGGCATCAGTAAAAATAAGCTATCATTTACATTTCCATGGTGAATTTTAACAGAAACACTTTAGGGCGAGGATCTTGGAGCTCACTAGGAATTTACCTGTGGGCAAAATTTGAGGGAGGTATGTAGCTTTTCATCTTGTAGCCATCTTATTTAGGAACCAAAAGAGGAGGCAGGTTTGTGTGACTCAGTTCCCAGCTTGACTTTTCCCATTAACTTAATGAGTTTGAGATTCCAAGATTTATTTTTCTTTCACTTTCCTCTTCTCTAAACTGCCTATTCATACTATTTGCCTATTTTCATTTGAGTTGTCTTTTTAAGCTCCTTAATTGTTTGGTAAATAATTTTCTTGTACATTGTAAAAACCATTTCTCAGTGTGTGACCTGTCTTTTAACTTTCTTCTATTTTTATTGTGAAACTGCTCTATACATTACTGTAGTCCAGTTTGTCAATCTTTTGCTTTATATTTGTGCCTCCTTCTAAAGAAATACTTCCTATCAAGAGATAATATGTTATTCAAAATTTTCTTCTAAAAGTTTTCAAGTTTTGTCTTTGAAATGTACATTTTAGTTCATTTAAAATTTATTTTATTTACAGTACATAGTAGAACATACTTTCTATATTTCTCTACAATCATTCGTTTTCCATTAATTTATGCTATTTCCTATGAATTTATCAATTCCGTCTTTTACTTAAGTAAACCTCCTTTTGTTTCCATTTTGTATAATTTCCAATGATCATGATTTTCTTTTCTGAAATTGTACTATTTTAATTGTTTTTATATTTACCTGTTCTTTTTCAATCTGCTTTTTAGAATTTTGCAATGTCTTGTTTTTTCAAACTGAAAACATATCTTTTTTTATTTGAGCATTCTAATAATATGAATTTTAAAGTATTTGGCTGTTGTATAAATTTAATGCCACCAGAGTGAATTTATATTCCATTCTGAAAGTTGATATCATTGATTGTCTTCCATTAGATGGCTTTTTCTTGCATTTTGATGTTTTGATTTATAGGCCAGTGTTCTATGAGTTTTATTTTGTTTAGTTCTTATCCGTTCACTCCCTCTGTCTAGTGGTTTGCAGTTGCTTCTGTCTGCTGCTCCATAACCTCAATGTGAAATCATGCCTTGTGTTGATACTGAGGCCATCATATCAACCATCACAGAGCAGGTTCAAGGCTTCACAAGCTCCTAGTCTGGAAGTCAAGTCTGTGCTCACCTTTTTCCTTAGGCTTGCAGCTTGCCAGGAGATACAGGCCTAGGTAGGATTTTTTTTCTTTTTTCTTTTTGGAGACAGAATGTAGCTCTGCTGCCCAGACTGGAGTGCAGTGGTGTGATCTCAGCTCACTGCAACCTACGCCTCCTGGGTTCAAGCCATTCTTCTGCTTCAGCCTCCCGAGTAGCTGGAACAACAGGCACCTGGCTAATTTTTTTTTTTTTTTTTTAATTTCTAGTAAAGATGGGGTTTCACTTGTTGGCCAGGCTGGCTAAGTAGCATTTTTTAAAGAATTTCTTAAAGACCAAACCTCTGGCATTGGTCTAGTTCTGGATAGACTCCTGTCATCCAAAGAAATAGAACTAATACTAAGGATACTATAAGGTTGGTGCAAAAGTCATTGCAGTTTCCACCATTCCTTTCAGTGGTAAAAGCCTCAGTTACTTTTGCACCAATCTAATAGTTCCTCCAAAGATTTGCAAACGATGAAAGAGAAAGTTGGAAAGCTACAAACCTAGGAATAAGACACAGCAGTCTCAAAGACAAGAGAAAGCTTTTTAGATAGTGATTTTAAAAACTCTCAATGGTTTTATTAAGATAATTCACATACTGTAAAAATCGTACTTGTAAATGTGCCATTCAGCAGTTTTTAGTAGTCACAAAATTGAGCAACCATCACCACTATCTAGTTCCAGATCATTTCTCCACCCAGAAAGAAATCCTGTACCCCTCAACAGTCATTCCTCACCCTGCTTTATTCCTGGCAATACGTAATCTACTTTCTGTCTCTATGGATTTGCTATTTTGGACATTTCATATAACTGGAATCATACACTAGTTAGCCTTTTGTTCCTGGCATCTTTCATTTAACATAATGTTTTCAAGGTCCTTCCATGATGTAGCATGCATCAATACTTCATTCCTGTTTTTTATGGCTGAATATTAACCTGTTGTATGGATAAATCACGTTTTCTTTATCTGTTCATCAATTGGTGGGCATTTGGATCATTTCCACTTTTTTACTATTATGATCAATTCTACTGAACTAAGCTTGGGCTACCATAGCAAAATACCAAAGACGTGCCCTGCAGGTGGCTGCCTTCCCCCGTGCCCTCTCATGGAGAATAGAGAGAGAACAAGCCTTCTGGTGTCTCTCTCTTTTTTTTTTTTAAATGGAGTCTTGCTCTGTTGCCAGGCTGGAGTTCAGTGGCACAATCTCGGCTCACTGCAACCTCTGCCTCCTGGTTTCAAGCAATTCTCCTGCCTCAGCCTCCTGCATAGCTGGGACTACAGGTGCACACCACCATGTCCAGCTAATTTTTGTATTTTTAGTAGGGATGGGGTTCTACCATGTTGACCAGGATGGTCTCAATCTCTTGACCTTGTGATCCACTCACCTCAGCCTCCCAAAGTACTGGGATTACGGGCATGAGCTCTGGCTCTTCTTATAAAGGCACTAATCCCATCACAAGGGCTCCACACCTAAACCTAATTACCTAATTAGTACCTCTGGTATCTAAATACTATCACACTAGAAGTTAAAGCCCCCATGTGAATTTTGGGGTTACACAATTCAGTCCATAGCACCTGCTATGAACCACCTTGTATAAGTCTGTATATGGATATGTTTTCAACTATCTTGGGTATATGCCTGGGAGTGCAATTACTTAGTCATATGCCAATTCTATAATGAGCTTTTTGAGGAACTGCCAAATTGTGTTTCACAGTAGCTGCACCATTTTACATTTCCACAGGCAACATACGAGGATGCCATTTTCTCCACGTCCTTGCCAACACTTGTTATTGTCCATCTTTTTTTTATTGTATCAAAACCACACTGAGTGGGTGTGAAGTGATATCTTGTTCCATGGAGATTTGTAGAATAGATTATTGCCTCACCCAGATATTAAGCCCAGTACCCATTATCTATTCTTTCTGATCCTCTCCCTCCGCCCAGTCTCCACTCTCTTATCAGCTCTAGTGTGTGTTGTTTCCCTCCCTGTGTCCATGTGTTCTCATCATTGAGCTCCCAATTATAAGTGAGAACATGTGGTATTTGGTTTTCTGTTCCCGTGTTGGTTTGCTAAGGCTAATGGCTTCCAGCTCTATTCATGTTCCTGTAAAGGACGTGATCCTGTTCCTTTTTACAGCTGCATAGTATTCCATTGTGTATATTTACCACATTTTCTTCATCCAGTCTAACATTGATGGGGATTTCGGTTGATTCCATGTCTGTGCTATCGATGGTGCTGCAATGAGCACATGCCTGCATATATCTTTATAACAGAATAATTTATATTCCTTTGGGCATATACCCAGTAATGGGGTTGCTGGGTCAAATGGTATTTCTTTCTTTAGGTTTGTGGAATCACCTCACTGTCTTCCACAATGGCTGAACTAATTCAAACACCCACCAACAGTGTAAACACATTCCTTTTTCTCTACAACCTCCCCAGCATGTTATTTCTTAATCACAGCCATTCTGACTGCTGCGAGATGGTATTTCATCTATGTTTAATTAGATTATGTTTTTATTGTTGAGTTGTAAAAGTTCTTTATATATTCTAGATGAAAGTCCATTTATTAGATATATACTCTAAAAATATTTTTCTCCGGCAGGATTTTGCAGCTCTTTTCCCAGCCTCCCTTCATGAGCACATTCAGTCTCTCCTCAGCTCCTGTCTTCAAACACAGTGGTGGTTTAGCTCAGATCTCTTTCCAGCCCTGATTCCAGATCCAGTCTCCAGAAAGCCCTGGTGTGTCCAGTAGATGCGATGTTCATCTTGTACTTGAGCCTCAGTCTTTCAGTTTTCTTTTTGATGTTTTATCCATCATCTCTCAGTTTCCAGCAAAGAGCCTCGTTCAGTCACAAACTCCTGAAAGACATCTGTTAATATTGTATATAGCATTTGTGTGTGTGTGTGTGTGTGTGTGTGTGTGTGCTTTTTAAAAATTGTGAGGTTAAATCTATTGGCATTTGACTATTCTTTCTTCCTTTGATTTTATGCTTAGAAAGGTCTCTGTCAATCTAAGAGGAGAGAAGCGTGATTTTACAATTTCTTCTAATGGTTTTCTTCCTTCTTTATATTGAACTCCCAAGTCCATTTGGAATCTGTCTTCTTATTGCGCATATAGGAATTCAAGTCAAAGACCTTCTGAACTGTTTACTAATGTTCTCAGCATTCTCCAGTGCTTTTTAAATGCCATAAATTAGATATTTTAGATATTAACATATCTTTGTGTCTCTGTCAGAGTATATTTCTATTTTAATTCTATCCCATTATTTAATTTTTTTCAATCCCTGCACCAGAAGCTGGAAGCATAGCTTTTGTGTGTGTGTCTCCTTTAGCCCTTGCACAGGGCTGGTTGTGTTATGGGTGCTCAACAAATATTTGCTGGATGAATTTATGATTGAAAATTAGAACACGGGAAGGACACGGAGGGCAAGTGTTATAAGATGCTGATGAGGACAGTGTTGGAATGGCTGACAGTGACCTTGAAAAAAGAGAAACTAGTACCTGGCTCAGTGCCTGTCACATAGTAGGCACTCAATAAAACATTTAAGATGTGAAAAGAGTACGAATGAAATTTCTCCAACTGAATTATTCCCTGTCTACTATTGCTCTAAACCACCTAAAAACTCTTAGCCAGCCCCATCCTTCACTTTTCTCTTTTTTTTATTTTTTTAAGACAGAGTCTCACTCAGTCACCCATGCTGGAGTGCAGTGGGGCTATCTCGGACACTTGTAGCCTCCGCTTCCTGAGTTCAAGTGATTCTCATGCCTCAGCCTCCTGAATAGCTGGAATTATAGGCATGCACCACTGTGCCTGGCTAATTCACCCTTCACTTTTGATGTGGACTCTGCCCTGTCTGCCTGACAACAAACAGCACTTCTCAGAAACTCAGATCTTTGCTGATCTGGCAACCAGGTAACAACTGCTCAGACTACTTGAGGAAATGGAAGTCACAATGATAAATGATGATAACCTTTGTGAGTCTAGAGTCTCAAAGCTTTCTCCCTGACAGCTGGCCTGTCATTTAAGACCCACTATACACTGGCTGTCAAAGCATTGTAGAGTAAAAGGAATATTGACTTAAATTCTGAAACTATGAGTTTCTGTTTCTAAAATGTTTCAGCTCTGTGCCTGTTGGCAAGTGACTTAACTCCTCTGAGTCACAATTTCTTCATCTATAAAATAGAGATAATAACATCAACCCCAAGGGATGTTACAACAGTTAAATGAGGTAACTCAGATAAAAGAGTTCTTTAATGGCCGGGCGAGGTGGCTCACGCCTGTAATCCCAGCACTTTGGGAGGCCGAGGCGGGTGGATCACGAGGTCAAGAAATCGAGACCATCCTGGTCAACATGGTGAAACCCCGTCTCTACTAAAAATGCAAAAACTCAGCTGGGTACGGTGGTGCGTGCCTGTAGTCTCAGCTACTCAGGAGGCTGAGGCAGGAGAATTGCCTGAACCCAGGAGGTGGAGGTTGCGGTGAGCCGAGATCACACCATTGCCCTCCAGTCTGGGTAACAAGAGCGAAACTCCGTCTCAAAAAAAAAAAAAAAAAGAGTTCTTTAATGAGAAAGGACTGCATTGGTAAGATTATAACCACCCCCATATTACTTTATCTTGCTTCCAACGTGTAACCTGCTCCAGACGGCATAGAATCTTCATGACTGGAGGCTTTTCTTTCCCTCTCTCTTCCCGCAGGTCTTTCTGCCTATTGAGATTCTACCCATTCTTGAAGGCTCAGCCTCAGCCCATCCTTATTCCCGAATACTTCTTTCCACTTCTGCCCACACACATTTTCATTCATTGGAACTGACTTTATTGTAACATGTCATCCCACCTACAAATCCCCAGTTCTACCCTCCTTATTTTGTAGGAGGTGAACACCTTCAAGAGAACCTTCAACTCTGTAAGCAGTGACCAAATCACACTCTTCTTCTTCTTGTTGTTTTTTGAGATGGAGTTTCACTCCTGTTGCCCAGGCTGGAGTGCAATGGCGCAATCTCAGCTCACTGCAATCTCTGCCTCCTGAGTTCAAACAATTCTCCTGCCTCAGCCTCCTGAGTAGCTGGGATTACAAGCATGTGCCACCACGCCCAGCTAATTTTGTATTTTTAATAGAGACCTAGTTTCTCCATGTTGGTCAGGTGGGTCTCGAACTTCCGACCTCAGGTGATCTGCCCACTTCGCCTCCCAAAGTGCTAGGATTGAGTACAGGTATGAGCCACTGTGCCCAGCCTCTCTTCTTCTTTTATTATTATTATTACTTTTAAAGATGGGGTCCCACCATGTTACCCAGGCAGGTCTTAAAGTCCTGGTCTCAAGCAATCCTCCCATCCCAGCTTTTCATCTCCAGGGCTGGTTTTCTGCTAAAACCACCTTGCTTGGAAGCTGGGGAGGTCTCCTGTTTGGGCTTGTGTCAAGTCTGGAACAATGCAGCTTGCAGACGTCCACTGGTTCCAGTCAAAAAGAAGCCTTTGAGCAGCAAGCAATGCAAAAGCCGTCCTGCCTCCCTGCATCATTTCCATTTGCTTTTTACACTGACATTCCTGACTGTGGAGCCTCTGTCTTATAGAAAATGACAAGGAAGGCTGGATTTGGTTCAAGATGAATTCTAGGTCCCCAAAAGTGGGTGGATTGCTAAGAACTTATTCTACAGGAGACTATATGTATTGGAGCAAATCTAACCTTTCACTCCCCACATTAAACTGGGCCTGAACAACACCCTACTGCCTCACACCATTGATGCTGTCAGAGGTTTTGCCTATGATTTTCCAAGCAGCAGGTTTGGGGTCAGCATAGCAAAGGCTATCTGATCAAATGATGGGCTCTTTTCCTCTAAAAGACAGTAGCAAAGAAGGAAAAGTCAGCATGCCCAGAAGAATTCACAAGGCTCAGGCAGCAGCCTGGTGACCACTGTTGGAAATGTGCAGGCCTCTCATCTACCATGGGCGTGGAAAAGAGAGCAGATGGTGGGACTTAGTCTTTATTATTTAAAAAAATGAATTATTAATGATCATGGCACTGCAACCTCCGACTCCTGGGTTCAAGTGATTCTCCTACCTCAGCCTCCCGAGTAGCTGGAACTACAGGTGTGCACCACCATGCCCAACTAATTTTTGTATTTTTAGTAGAGACAGGGTTTCACCATGTTGGTCAGGATGATCTCTGTCTTTGACCTCTGCCCACCTTGGCCTCTTAAAGTGCTGGGATTACAGGTGGTTAGCCACTGTACCTGGCCATTATTTATTTGCTTTATAAATATAACATTTATTTTATAAATATATACATGATTTATTTATTTTATAAATATATACATTATTCATTTATTTTATAAATGTATAAATACATAAACAAGTTATTTATTTATAAATATATACATATATGCATTATTTACAAATACGTAACTATGTAAATTATTTGTAATTATATAAACAATTTATTATATAAATATATGTTGTACAGATATATAAATATTTGTGTGCATGTATATATATGTATATACATATATATACACACATAAATTCTATTGGTTCCGTTTCTTTAGAGAATTCTGGCTAATGCACCTCCCATGCAGTGGTTTTTCCTCTGTGATGAGTTCAGCTCATTAGATATTGTTCCAAGTCCAAATTACCTTTAAGGACCGAGGGAAGAGGATTTTGGAGGCTCACCTCTGCTTTGAGTGGCCATTGAGCGGATCCTGCCCTTGAGAGGGTCTTCCCAGGCCCGTGACAAAATCTAGCAGATGGGAATGGTATTTCAGGACCTCCAAGGATTCTCAGGGAGAAGCTATGGATTCTGCAAGCCACAGGACTTTAGTCTGTTTCTGCCTGACACCAGAAAAGACAAAGCAAAGCAATGTGCTAAGCCGATTTGCAGATGGTTGGTTACACAGCGGGTCAATGTGGTGTTTGTCCTGGAATCTTTAGGAAGGGCCAGTCATCTGGATGTTAGACCCTCTGGCTTCCCTGGAAGGCCTTGTGGATGAGTTTAACTCTGAACCCAGATGCTCCGTCACCTAACCTCCCCATGCACATTGTGTTACTTTTCTGATCTTAGTCGCTACATCTTTGGTTCTAAAACCAGATTCAAGAGACCAGGTCAGTGGTACCATCTCTCCCTCTTACAGAGACCCAGTACCGTGGCTGGCAAAATTCTCAGCTCAACAAATGAGCGTCATATGTTATTATCATGATTGTTATTATGTGGGTGAAAGGGGGAAGAGTCAGAACTACCAAGGGTTTAGCCCCAGACTCAAAAGCTCAACCTGGAGAAGTATAGAAGGAAATCACTCATTTATTTATTCCAGAAATACTTAGCAAAAATCTATTATGTGCTAATAACTGTGCTGAATTAGAAGTCACACAAACCTGGCTGTTTCCTCCCAGAGCCTGCAGTATGGGAGAAATAGAAATTATTTAAACAATAAGCAAATTATATGCATCTGTAGGAAGTCATAGGACCAGGCCGGGCATGGTGGCTCACGTCTGTAATCCCAGCTAGTTGTGGGGGCCAAGGCACGAAGATTGCTTGAGCCTAGGAGTTTCAGGCTGTAGTGAGCTATGATCATACCACTGCACTCTAGCCTGGGCAACAGAGCAAGACTCTGTCTCTTAAAAAAAAAGATAGGACAGAAAAAGCCTAGGCCCATGGGAGCACAAAGAGAAACTTCTCTGATCCAGATTATATTTTAAGTTAATAAGAACTTTGTCCCAACAGATAATGAGGCCCAGTGGGACCGCATACAGATTTGCTTTCATTCATTTATGACTTGGAGGCTTTTCCATGTCAGCTTTTTTAGGATAGAACCATGTCTACCATTTCTCCTTTTGCATCAACCCCAGTACTTAGCACATAATATTGGTCGTCAGTTCATATTTGTTAAATAAAATGAATGGATTATGTGCCTTACATCGAGGTGAAATTTATATAACATAAAACTCATCATTTTTAAGTGCACAATTCCATCGTATTTAGTAATTTCACAATATTGTGCACTCATCACCCCATCTCATATCAAGACATTTTCAACACCCTGAAAGGAAACTCCATCTTCATGAGCAGTCATGCCCCAGCCCCCAGCAACCACTAATATACTTTCTGTCTCTATGGATTCTATCTTGATCACTTTATATAGAGAATCAAAACATGGGTGACCTTTTCTGTCGGGATTCTTTCTCTTAGAATATTTTTGAGGTTTAGCCGTGTCCTGGCATATATCAGTACTTTATTCTTTTTTACGGTGAATGCATTACTCTTAATAATAGCATGGTAGTTTATCCTGTGGATGGAAGCTAATTTAATTATCCACCTCTCATTTATAGGCATTTAACTGTCATTTTTGCTCACATATTTAATGGTTCATTGAATAATTTTTGTGCATATATGCAAAGAATTTTATGAGCTTGTAAGTCTAGTTTGTGTTAAATATTGGTGGCATTTATGTAATTAATAAGCAACAAACTTAAATAGCATTTTATCATTACTATTTTTATGTAATTAATGAACAAAAATGACATGTATTTATGGCATACCACATGGTATGCCTTTATAAAAAATGCCTTTTTATAAAGGAGTCTTGGGGTCTTCCCTGTTGCCCAGGCTGAGGTGCAGTGGCAGCATCATAGCTCACTGTAGCCTCAAATTGCTGGGCTTGAGCAATCCTCCCACCTCAGCCTCCGAATAGCTGGAACTACAGGCATAAGCCACCACGCCAAGCTCAACTTGATGTTTTGAAATACGCATTCCTTGTGCAATGGCTAAATCAAGCTAATTAACATATATGCATTACCTTACATATTATCATCTATTTGTGGTGAGAGCACATAAAACCTGCTCTTAGCAATTTTCAAGTATATATTACATGATTATTAACTACAGTCATCCTGTCGTACAATAGATTTATTGAATTTATTC